ATGGAAGGATGCTAAGTGAGGACCACTTATACCGAAATGTTATTAATGTCTACCTGCACTCTGGATTATCTGGGAATTCTACAGGAAGACATCCTTTCGCAGCTTGTATGGTTATGTTCAAACAACACGTGTAAGCTGAAAAATACATCACATTAAATTACAGCCAATCACGAAAAAATTCTGCACTTGCTCGTAATGATGCGAAAAGTCTTTCAAATGAATAGCACAATTTCCGAAATACCATATTTCCTCCAATATTTCTTCACCCACCGAAAAAAAAGCAATCCGGAAGCATAAACCCTCCACGACAGATCTTCTCCTTCAATTTATAACCAAGCACTAGACATATACATTTCTTCTTAACAGGTCACTTTCCTTGAATGGATTTACTTTTTTCCTTCGCCGAAAATATCCTCTAAAGGATTATGAAAATAGATTTCAGAGGGCTATGTGAATGGACAAAAGCACTGATTTGATTATCGGCAGCGTATATTGCGTACTCCAGGGGCGAGCTCATTAGTCCCTTTGCTGTCGTGAAAATTTTGGGAAACAATTCGCTAGATGACCCGACCAACCCATACCCGCCGAATGGGCGACAGCAGTGAGAATACAGTCTGACTCAAGCAGAACATCTTCAAAAGACTATGATCGTTTATTGTGACTACTCAGCCACTTGCTGAGATCGAACACAGCCTCCACCCGAACTGTGCATGAAGGATTGTTGCCTTACGTTCATTTAATCCATGAATACATGATGACTTACGTGCATTCCAGCAAGACAAGGCCGCTTCCAATACCGGTTCAAAGTAAGTAACTCCGGAATGGGTACCATCGTCTTCCGTGATGCTTTTGAAGACGCTTCTCTCAAAACACTTCGCAAAAACTGGACATTTCTTGAGATTCTTATACGCGCTAAAAATTGGTGAGTTACAGCTGCGGTGACTTTAGGAAACCGGATCAAGGTTCACATGAAACATTCAATTACCTGTTTGGCAGGTGATTGAAGAAGAGGGCTATATAAAGTATCGCATAAAGAAGGCAATAAAATCTGGTTGTAGAAACCTCATTTATCAAATATTTCTTCGAAGAAGCATCCTGTGGTGTCACAATGAAATGCAATGATACAACATCATTGGAATAACTTTGCTCAGGAGTGGTAATCATTCTGCATTTCATTCTAACAAAATTTTGCATCTTACAATAATTCAATTTTCAATTATCGGACGCGTTCATTTGATGTCTTATCGTTAGTCAGTGTACAAAATGTTTTTCTGATTGTAAGCTGAAAAGGCATCCTTTGCTCTCCATGACTCTCTTCGTAGTTCTTTCAAGTGACTCGAAAATAAAGAGATCATCACAAACTGTTACTCGCAAGCAACGGATTTATTCTCATTTAAGATAATCTGCGTGAGGTCAGAGGCGTCTGGCAATTTTCCGTTAGTCATCTNTGCACATTGCACTTCTAACTTTGTTTTCCGTACAGAAATACTTCGAAAATTGTATTTGTTGGTGAAAAACGCCTGAGCAATTATTCTCATTCTGACTGTTGAGGCATCGTCAAAACTCGAATCCAAATAAAACCGTTGTCTGACCATGATATCAGCCTGAGCGTTATATCGAAAAATTTAACATCATTAGTCTGCCCGGATATCATGACTGCTCTGAATAGATCCTCATTGCAACGTCAATAAAGGATGGATTCATTATGATAAAAAATATCAGAAAACTAGTACACGTGCATACAATTGCATTGGAACCAAACTGACCTTAGATTCATCAACAGTGCAGTCTTCCTTTATCGAGCTCTGTAGTCGAGGGATTTTTGGTAGTAAGAATTGTTGGTACTCTCGTTGGAGTTCCTGCTCGAAAGCATCGCTCGATTCTGTAAAATGTTGGCGATGAAGTGCAAGCAAACAGATTCTAAAATCGAAAGATCTTGTTATTGATGTCATCGCAGCTCACTTGGAATGAGTCCGTAACTGACCCTTACGAAGGGTATTCTACCGAAGGTAGCAATTGGTAACCTGTACTGAAACAATCATTCTTTTCAACGAAGAAAGAGCAATTTCTGTCCTGGAAATTGTGAGACAGTGAAAGTGATATCGTGTGACCCGTTATTCCGGAGCTGATTCAATATTCTAAGATTAATTATTAAGGAAATAACCTACCAATTTCTAGATTAAAAGCAACCAAGAGAGCAAAAACAACTGCAAGCAACATCTGCAAAATGATGCAACTGATAATATGCTGTTCTTACGTCTCCGTCTTTATGTATCTAACCAATCGTTACCTCTACTAGTGATGCACCATGCAACAATTTGATGAAGTATGCCAAAAGATTATCGATATCAGTGCGCCCTTATCAGTGCATCCAACGAAGGCTCATCAGCACCCACAACGACTGCCTACTCCTCTTGCCATGATAAAGTGCAAAACGAAACGACTATTTTACATGCTCGGAAATCACAGAGCAGTACATCAGCAACGAATGGTCTATTCCCCACTGGTAGTAAGCAAAGTGTATTTACACAATATATTTCTCCAAAATGTATCCTCTTGCCAATTCTGTTGCATTTTTATTACGCTATTGATCATAATTCAAATAATCAGTGGTTTTATCTTAAACAACATTGCTCAGCACTGCGTTGTGATTGCACACGACGGAGTGCCTTCATATTCTCTTGCCAAATCTTTTTTATAAAGAAGGTGATTATGTGTGCAATCCATCGTTTATTTTAAGATAATCTCGTACTTTTTTTAGATATCAAACCTTTCTCTCTCGTGATCGTCATAAAAGTTAGAAAGC